TGTGCCAGTAAGAAATACCTGCAAGAAAGCATGCACTACCACCACCAGGAACAAATACAGTAAATCAAATGCAGCTATCATCAGTGCTATTAGCTACACCTAAAGCTTTCATGGGACCAAATATCTGCTGTGACTGAAAAACATCAGGAAAGTAGGAAATGTGATATTCTAATGCCAAAGACGCCATCAAACTGGAAAGACCATTCCTCATCAGAGCTGGAGGTCTGAGGCATCACCTCTCACCTGTTCACAATTCAGTCCTAAGTTCTCTCCCCAGGAAGATGAAACCACATCCACACCAAGCCACAAAGGACCCTAATAAACCTCATTGTGACAGCAGTAATGACTCGCATAACGAGGGGGAGGAGCAACAAACCCCCAATTAAAACAGAAACTCAGGTGTTAATGGTTCCTTCAGGATATACGTATGTGGAACTCCCAACTAGTCAGTCAGAGCTGATGAAGCCTCTTGGATGAGAGATGGAGAAGAAAGAAACTCAAGCAAGTCCAGTTGCTACGATTAACCTACCAAAACAACCATGACCTGGATGACTGAGAATCTTCACAGACAATCTAATGCCAGATTCATGATTATCTGTTGAATCAAAGTAATACACACTGACTAATCACAACCTTTTAACCTCACACATGCTGCCACTTCCTTACCAACCCAGTTTTCAATATAAATGTAGAAAAGCGTAGTTGTGTTTTAACTTGTAGGTCATTGTAATCTTACATACTATTAAAATTGTATATCTCTAAAGAAGAAGCCTTTTCCTGTTACATTTGCTTGACTGTCCATAGGGGGGCAGTCTTGTCTATATTCTGGCTTGTGTTGCATCCAACAGCTGCAATAGTGCTGCAAGAACCCTGGAAAGAGGCACAGACATCACATCTCAGGTCTCTCAGCCTCCCTTCAGCCACTATGGGGCGCTATAGTCTCTGTTACTGCCTCTCAGACTCCAGTTCTTACTACATTTCTGCTGTAGCCCTCCTGTTGTGTTTGTCTGCTAAACACAAAGGCAAAACCTCAATTTAACAATCAGATAATGTTATATTTAGAAAAGTGTGTATCTTTATGCTTTGTTTCTTGTTTCTGAATTTTGTTTGCCGTCTGTTTTCTCAGGTAAAGATGCTCAGTGATGCTCATCTTCTAAAACAGCCATATGTGAATCATAGGAGTCAGAAATTTGATGCCATCGACCATCATTAACTCTCTTAATGTGCAGGTTTCACCTAAGTAGCTTTAAGGTGCTTTAAATGGCTGTCTGATGGTTGACTTGTTCCAATTTTTTTTTAAATTAAGTCTGCAGATGATTGACAAATTAAAGGTAGATCTAACATAAAGGGTTTCAGTAAGGCATTGGCGTGCAGTTAGAACAGCTTCAGTGCACGTTGGCATTTATTCTCTTTGGCATCAACAGTTTAAATCAACTGTTTGCTGCATATTTGAGAAAAATAGTAATGGAAAAATTACAGATTTTCCCTGTTTTGTTAAATTACTGTTAATATCTAGTAAAATCAGACAAAAAGTATTAATTCACATGTTGACTGTTAAAAAAAAAAAACAAAAACACACACACACACATAAAAACAAGCCTAACCTGTTTGCAATGTGCACTTCAAAAATCTAAACCTATCATTATTTTTACTGATATTTGCTCTTTCTTTCTTTCTTTCTTTCTTTCTTTCTTTCTCTGTTTTTGCAGTTTTGAATGCTACTATAGTCCTTCGTTTTAGTATGAATTTGCTTCTGGCACTCTTGTAGCCAGATTTTCCTCATGTTTTTTATTTATAAAACATTTTTTCTTTTTACAGTGTGTTACCAGATTACCGCCGTGTTATTAAGGTATAATTAGACACGTTTCCCAGAACTCCTTTTCTCTTAAGGAAATCTGACACTTTGAAATCTAACATTTGAACTGCTTTAGTTCTCCTGCACATGTTGGGTTATAAAAGCAGCTCAGAGTTTCCATCCTTCTCGCAAGCTGACAAAACCAGGGCCTTCTTTACCATCAGTATTATCACTACAGAAACTTGACAAGATGTCAGATATCTTCACTGAAAACCAGAACATCTGTATCATCACAGGAGCCTCCAAAGGGTTTGGATGTGTGCTGGTGCACCAAGTAAGGGATGGACTTGGACAGATCTCAGAAAGCAACCAACAAATGTCTTGTCTGTTCCAGTGACCCACTGGGTGAAGCCTGGCTCCGTCTCCTGCTGGTGGCTCGCTCTGGGACTGAAGGAAGAGCTTCACTGAAGATGAGCAGCATACGTTGCATCACAGCCGATCTGATGTAAAGATGGGTGAATGAAGTAGCGATGGTGGCAAGACAGGAAGCTGTCAACAAGCTAGATTATGTGCTTCTTATCAACAACGCTGGCGAGCCGTTAATAGAAACGCCGGCTCTGATTAGACCTGTGTGAGTAATGCTGATTTTGTTTTGATGCAGTGAAGTCTTTGACCCACCTATCTCTCTGCTCCCAGCCTCTTCGGGTGCCATTTCCAGGTGTGCAAGTTTCACTGATATAGCTGAGGTTAATTCTTATCTGTCCCTCAATGTTAGCTCGGCTCTGGCACCGACTGCTGGAATCCTGCAGGTGTTCCAGGCCTGCGATGGACTGTGGTGAATGTCTCATCAGTGTTTGCACCGGAGGCCTCGCCGTCCTGGGGGTTGTACTGCACACCTCAGCAGCCAGGAGGAGGATGTTCATTGTGCTGGCTGAGGAGGGACCAAATGTTAAAGTTCTCAGCTGCTCTCCAGGTATACACAGCCCTGTGCACTGGTCATAGAAATATCAGTGTGTTGGTAGAGCTACACATTCACAAAAAATAAAGGGGAGAGGTTGCATGTTGTGAATTTGTTGTGCAGCAATACGTGTGAATCACACAGTCCTCAAAAGCAATAAAGCTTACAGAGTTGTAAAGAAACTGTTGGTGGTCAAGCTTTCAGTTTTTCTGAATACATTCATCTCACCTGGGAATATAAACAATGCCATCTCGATTCTCATATGAATGCAACATTCACATACAAAGTGGTGGTGAGGATCTAGAAGATAACAGAATGCACGTATCACAGAAGACAAAAAGGAAACATGTAGTATTTTACTGACCCATATCTTTTTTTTGCTTTCCTTCAGGTCTGATGGACACAGAGGTTCAGGAAGAGATTCACCATGTGTTCCCCTGAGAGGAATCTGTAGCTAACTTGATGAAGTTGGACAATAGCGTCGCCTCAGGGGCACATCTGGACTTCTTCAAAGTGTGAGCTCAATATATGTAAAAGTGAAGAATGCACATTATTGTATTGTAATCTTTTGTTTAGGTTAGATTTTAGAAGAAGTGCATAAAGGTGTCAGTAATGTTACTGCACAACCTGCTTGTATTTGAATAATACAACTGATGCACTTGGCCTTTGCTCTTAAGTGAATATAGAGACACTTAAGTCCCTCTTCAGATTACTACTGATTAAACCCCTAAAACTTATCTTGCAAAATTACATATTTCTAAGTTGTTTTTTTCCCCATCAAAATAATCCCTTCATGCCTTAAAACAGTTTAGATGTAACCAGATGTTTGCTTCCTCTAGAATATACAGATCTATGAAGTCACCATGACACATTGGTTCCTTTGGTTTGTTACATATGAAACCTCAGAAGTATAAATCTGTGTTTTTGAGTTTATCGGATCACTGCAGTTTCAGCCATGGCATTGACTTTCTCTTATGATTTCTCTTCCAGCAAATAAAAAAAGACCATATGCACACGCTATTGAGATAAAAAATAAAATAAAATTCAGCAAATAGGCTTTTAAAGAAAAAACTGCTAAATAATTTAATAACAGCTCTATTTTGAGGCCTCAAAACTTGTGAATACTGCTGTTTTGTTATTAAAGTCAGATTTATTTATCAGAATTATGTGTTTGCTCATCTGCTCTGACACTGACTGTATGTTTGTGTATGATACTGATTTCCAAACAATGCTGCTCCTTCATGATTTTTTATTTTTTTAAATGTGGGTAAAGATTTCTGCACCGTCCAGGTAAAAGAATTAGATTTTTCTAAACCTGTTGACAAGTGCTTCTGTTGTGTTCCTCTTCTACTGGTATAATTTTTAAATTAGTTTCTGCTGTTAAGCATACTTTAACTACTAAATTATATTGGTGATAACTTACTGTAGTTCTGTGTTTAAAGTTGACTTTAGTGTTTTTACGAACTTTACCTTTCAACCTCCAACAAGGAACTTTCACCAACTATGAAAACTTAGATCAAAATGCACATACAATGCATTTAATAAGCCATTGTTTTCTCTGATGTAAAAATAATGTGAGGACAATGCATGGTAGAGGCATTACGTTGACAGTTGAAGGGTTACTACTGTATATCCTGTAACACATTTTTGACCTTATAATTTGGTGTGTAAAGCCCTGTTTTGACAATGTGTGTTCACACGTACTGAGCACTATTCCGTTTGTGGTGTCGGTCTGCCTTTCTAGGGACCCTGAACCTGGTCCTGTTGCCTCATTATGTCATAACTCATGTTACAATGAGACCGAGAGAGAGAGTATGCCGGAGAAAGCACCAGAACAGAGTGGAGGCAGCGAGATGGAGCAGCTCAGTTGCTGTCAAACTTCTCGCAGCTGTTCAACGTCACCGACTCCTGACAGACAGCCCCAACTGAGGGACCAAAATAACCCTCAGGGAGAGGGCACCTACCAACTCCTGATCTTGGGTGGGGGATTTTCTGTCAGCTAACAGGGCAAGAATTAAAAAAAAATGTGACTGCATATTCATACAACATGAAAGAATCTGAGTGATGACGAGGAGTTTCAGTTGTGCTGCTTTTCCACAGTGCTGTTAGTTTAGTGTCGGGTCTTGTCCACTGAAGAAAGTTCATTCCTTGGTAGACTAACGAGACAAATCACTGTCAACCCACTTTCTGTATCTCTTGGTACAGTTCAAGAGGTGTACAGCTATTTTAGTACCTCGGGTGAGGAATGTCCAGTTGTCATTGAAGAACAGAGGGCACAGATTAGTCTACGAGTTCCTCAACTGCCCCGCTGCTCTGCCGCTGAGACACTCCGCTGTGAGCTCGCCGTCCGTCCACCAGAGTCTCGGGAACCAGGGCGCCCACCATGGAGAACGTGGCAGTATTCGACTCACCTGGGAAGGGGAGGGGTCTGAAGGCCACAAAGGAGTTCTGGGCTGGAGATGTCATTTTTGCCGAGGCCAGCATTTCAGCTGTTGTGTTTGACAGGTACGGCGAGGATGCTCAGCGGTGTTCAAATGTGCTCATCGTGATGGTATTCAGGCACATTTTCTTGCTCTATATTTTAAATTTAGTCACTTTATGGTACATTTATCTGCTTTGGAAGGCCAGATTTCACTGTGGTGGGATAGTTTTTCTTGCTGAATTCTTACAATCTGCCATTTTTATCATGTAGATGTAATTTCATGGAGCCATCTGTGCCTCCAGTGAAGACTTTAAATGAACACTACATGACAGTAATCTTATCTGGGACAATCAAAGCCACTCTTCTTGTGTTTAGTATTGTTTATGGTGGACAAACTAACCCTTAAATGTGGAAGACACGCTTGTAACAGACGAGTTTAAGCGCATGCGTCTTAGTTGTTTTCCTCTTTAATATCAGCAGTTCTGGGTTTTAAAATCATCACCTTTTAAGGAAACATTTTCCACAGGCTGAACAATCAAGTGACACATACTAAATGCTCTTAAACGTGTTTTTATACAACACGACCGGTCACACTTAAATCAAACCTTTATCTCAGAAGTGCTCATAATCATGGTAATAATTACCAAATGATCAATTTTTATAGCTTTACAGAGGTTATCGGGACGTGGGACTAAATAATCTCAGCTCAAAGTTCATTCACCTGCTATTTTTGGAACTGCTTCAATTTGCCGATGAAGGCCGTGAATGCTGGGTATTTTTGTGATGCAACCATCTGAGCTGGGCATTAAAGAATGAATTGTCATGCTTATGTTTAAGACTGTTTTCAAATACACGAGAAAAGGAGAAAATGAACCTATTATAGTGGTGCGTTTGGCCACTCAGGTGAATCCAGGCTTTTGTTTTTATAGTTCCACAGGTGCTGTGCTTTAAAGGATCCTAACAGCTTTCCTCCCTTTTTCTGCAGCCTCGCAGAACGCATTTGCCACAGCTGTTTCCGCAGGCAAGACAAGCTCCAGAGGTGTGGCCAGTGCAAATTTGCTCATTATTGTGACCGGACCTGCCAGCGCGCCGGCTGGGCCGAACACAAGCAAGAATGCGGTGCCATTAAAGCTTTTGGCAAGGCACCGAATGAGAACATCCGGTAAGTGGGAAGGAAAAGGACAGAAGGTGTGGTGCTTCTTTGCTTTTTTGTTGCTAATTTTGAGGTGATTTTGATTAGGAAAGCATGAATAGGTGAATTACTATCACAAGTAAGCTGCATAACAACCATGTTACACAGCAGTTGGTGTCAATGCTCCTTTAACCTCCTGTTACCTTCAGATTTACTGGCATCTTTTATCCTTGGGGTCAGTTTGACCCCAGCAATTTAAGCGTCCAGAAAAAAATGATGTCAGACACTTATTTAGAGACGTTAGACATTGAATGGGGTTAAATTGACCACAAAGGAAATGGAAGGGTTAAGGTAGTCTAGAGCAGGGATCTCCAACTCTGGTCCTCGTGAGCTACTGTCCTGCAGGTTTTAGACGTTTCTGTACTGCAACACAAATTAATGGATCATTAAGAGACTTGTGTAGAACTTGACAACAAGCTGTTGGAGATCCATTCATTGGAGTCAGGTGTGTTGCAGTAACATCTAAAACCTGCAGGACAGTAGCTCACAAGGACCAGAATTGGACATCCCTGGTCTAGAGACAATGTTTATCTGAGTTCCCTGTGACCCCAGACGTCACATGTCGCCTTCTCTGTTCTGTCGACGTGGTCAGGCTGGTGGCCCGCATCATGTGGCGCCTGGACAAGGACGGCCCCGTGGTGTCCGACATGCAGCTGGCCACGCTGGAGGAGCTGGAGGACCACATCACCGACATGCAGGAGGACGAGCTGAAGGAGTTCAAAGTGGACATCCACAACTTCCTGGACTACTGGCCCCGGACCAGCAAGCAGCACACAATCGACGTCATCTCGCACGTATTTGGAGTGGTGCGTCCACACATGTGTAAATCATACATCCATCCATCCATTATCTATACACCACTTAATCCTCACTAGCGTCATGGGGGGCTGGAGTCTATCCCAGCTGTCTCAGGGTGAAGGCAGGTTCACCTGGACAGGTAACTAGTCTATCACTGGGGTTCACTTAGAGACAAACAACCAAGCACACTCACATTCACACCTACGGACAATTTAGAATCACCAATTAACCTCAACATGTTTTTGGACTGTGGGAGGAAGAACCCAGAGAGAACCCACGCTGCACGGGGAGAACATGCAAACTCCACTTAGAAACATCCTGGGTGTCCCCACCGGAACGTGAACCGGCGACCTTCTAGCTGCGAGGCAACGATGCTAACCACTGAGCCACCTTGCAGCCCTAAATCATACATTTGCCTTTTTTTCATTATGTGGAGACTGCTGGTGTAAAACAGTTTTCCAAAACAGGAGCTGCTTTGTCCTTAATGAATCTGCACCTCCTCCCCCCAAAAAGACCAAAACAACACATTAATTATCTCTTTCAACAAGCCATGACAGTTAATACTTGATTCACAACTGGCACACAGTGTTAAATATTCACAAAAGGTACATCTACCTGCCATAGAATATGCTTAAGAGGAGGAGAGGTTGTGGATTCATCAGTGCCTGGAAAGCGCCTGTTAAATACAAAGCACTCGCAGTAGTGATGTGTGAGTGGACGAGGGATGTCCCAATGAACCTTTTATTAACCAAGCAGGGTTGAATTTTGGCTTCTATTGATCAAATTAAAGCACAAAATACAATTTTTTATCTTGTGACTAAACCAGGCAACGTTTACTTCCCACCATTTATTGCAGATTTGATTTGCCTAAATGTGACAAAGAGGTATTCCCTTTTCTTATTGTTTTTGTTTGTGCTGCATGGTGTAAAAATATCCAGGACGTGTCAATAAAAAAGCAAAGGTACAAGTAAAATCCACAATTAAGAACCTAATTTATGCAGCAGAAATGTTTTTTTTCTTGTGAATTGCATCATAATTTTGAGATTTCAGACTTCAAAACAACTAAACTGGGTTTCATCTGGGCTCATGATGTCACTTTTAAATGAGCTTTTCCTTTTCATTTGGTGCTTTGTGGCAATAAGTGAAGAACTTGAAGGAAAAATGCAAACAAAACACTTTACAAGACCTCAAAAGCAGACCCTTGCCTTATCCGTAGTGTCTATATTGTTCTACAGAAATGTAACTGGTCTATGTTCTCATCGAATGTCCCACTTTGTCCCCCAAGATCAACTGTAACGGCTTCACCGTGAGCGACCAGAGGGGCCTCCAGGCGGTGGGAGTTGGTCTTTTTCCAAATCTGTGCCTCGTGAACCACGACTGCTGGCCCAACTGCACTGTCATCCTCAACCACGGCAAGTAAGTTTTAAAAAGAAAAAAAAACAAAGACATGGACATTCTATTCAGCTAGAAATGACTCTAACTTGCTCAAAAGTTTTTTAAAAAAGTTTGTGTTGTATGCAGTGTGAGTGTGTTTGTCAGGTGGCACTTTGGCGTAAAACTGCTTCCTGTTTGTCTTTCAGTCAATCGGCTGTGAATACTTTGTTTCATTCTCAACGGAGGTGCGTTGCCTCAACCTAAGCATTTCTGTTAAGTGTTATTTATGGAAGCACCGTCCAGACTTCGATTCTTAATAAACCGATCATTGCACATAACCCCCACCCCGCCCCGTCCATCCACCGTAGAAAATAAAAGTCTTGGTGAGGAGTGTCCTGTAGTGTGCACTGATGTGACTCGGTTTTCACATCCATGTGACAACTTGAATGCTTTAACATTTATTTATCTTGTTTAGCGTAACTAAACGCTGGTGTGGAGTTTTCTCTGCATATTTCTTCACCTGAAAAAGCTCATTTTTCCCGCCACACGGTTTTGCCTAACTGTCATGTCAAGTTTCAGTCGTGTGCTGCTGGTTTGTCACTTTGTGCACTAGTAGTTTGAGAGTTTTTTAGTTCACCTCTAACACCACGTAACACCAAAACGTGACAAAATCATCATTTCAAACCATCATCCATTCACAAAATGACTGAACTTGATTTTGTGAAGTAGAAGCGTGACATAATCTACTTGACGTTCACTAACATCTCACGCCTTCAATCCTTAAACCGGACTGAAAGCCACACAAAGGAACAGGGTTTCACCATCACTTCAGAACTGTAAAACGCATCTGCTTGCATCCAACTGTGCTTCTCCTCCCCAGGATTGAGCTGCGTTCTTTGGGTAAGATCGCAGAAGGAGAGGAGCTGACGGTCGCCTATGTGGACTACATGAACCTGTCAGAGGAGCGACGGCGACTGCTGAAAACACAATACTTCTTCGACTGCACGTGCGAGCACTGCAAGGACCGGATCAAAGACGACATAAAGCTGGGTGGAAGGGAGGTGGACGGAGTTAAGGTTGGTGTCCGTGGCTCTCTCTCTGCGTTAAGCGTTGAGCGATAAGGACGGATAGGAAACTCGAGAAGCAGCAGGGCCGCAGTGACTATTTAAAGCAAAGATAATGCACGAGTAGATTCAGCATTCGGTGCGTTCACACCTGTTTTTGGGAAACATCTACCGACTGATTATTTGCTCAATAACCTCAGGAGTTCTTATCTTATCTGTTTTATGTTCTATTGTGTAATTTATATTCAATTTCCCATATCAAACAGGCTTTGGTGCATGACACGTCATAAAAAGCGTCGATGTTATAGTTAACATGTGCAGCACAAGACACTACATTTGTGTCTGATTAAGCATCTGCTGTTTGCCTATATGTGTGTGTGTCACATGTTAAAAATACAGGATTTAAGTGTCTAATAATAACCACAATAACAGAGAGCCTTGCCTTTCATACGGCAATAAATCTCGCTTGTTATTATCCCGCTAATCCCGTCAGTGGGTCAAAGGTCTTTTTTTTAAGATAAAAAATCCTCAGACCTTCACCTTTATACATCCAACCTGTGTTGTATACAAATAAAAATCCTGTCCTGCAAAATACTTCTAAATATGGAGCGTATTTCCAGATGCATGTCAGTTTGTTTTATCAGTCTCTCAAATCTTTCAGCCTTCAGAAGAACAGGTGAAAGAGGCAACAGATTTCTGCTTTCAAATGCTGGAGAAGATGGACCAGGCTCGGTTAAAAGGCGACTACCACGATGTAACGTATCAGATCACCAAATTAAAAACCAGAGAAATAGTTTCTGCTTTTTTTGCTTTTTGCAAAAGTTTCTTTATTTTCCCCGCAGGTGGTAAAAATCTGCCGGGAGGCCATCGAGAAGACGGAGCCGATTTTGGCTGACAGTCACATCTACCTGCTGAGGATGTGGAGCACGATGAGCGAGGTGCAGTCTTACCTGCAGTACTTCGACGAGGCTGCAGATTTCGCTCGCAAAATGGTGGAGGGATACATGTGAGTGTGGAGACGCTGAGCAGCTTCCTGTGATAAATGCATTGACTGTATATGAGAGAAGGATGTGGCCTCTGTGTCTGTAAAGTCAAAACAATAGGGAAGTTACTTAAACCTGCATTTCCTCTAATAGCCAGCAGGGGGCGACTCCTGTGGTTTAAAAATAATCCAATTCCTATTGAGGTCTATGAGAAAATGACTCTACTTCTCACTTGAGTAAACACTTTTCTGGTAAGTTTAGGGACTCAATTGCTAGTTTCACTTCTTTTTTAATGCAGCATGATGTTCATTTTGTAAATTGTGTTTTCATTTTGGGTAAAACAGACAATAAAGCAGGGTTTGCTTCAGGGTGCTTCAGGGTGTCACGTCACTACTGTATGGGCATGTATAGTGTCTCAGTCAGATCCAGATGAACATGAGGCCTCAAAATCTGAATCTGTCGCTACCCGCATAATATATATATACAGTCTTATATGTGTTTTGCCTTTCATATGATGACAAACACGCCAAGTTTTTAGTGTGTAAAAACAGAGTAAGTAAACACAAACTTCCTCTCTGTGACAGGAAGCTGTACCACTCCAACAACGCCGCTCTCGGTATGGCCGCCATGAGGGCAGGAGTGACCCACTGGCAGGCTGGGCAGATAGAGGTCGGACACGGCATGGTCTGCAAGGCCTACGCCATCCTCATGATCACCCACGGGCCGACGCACCCCATCACCAAGGACCTGGAGGTAAACAATCACCCAGTCTGCAAACTGGACGTCACTTTTATTTGGTTCCGCTAAGATGTTTCCAGACCGAATTTAAGTTCAGTTGTTCTAGTTTACATACAGCTCGAATGATACGATCAATTCTATTAATAATAATATAAAAGCAGGTATATTCCAACATCAAAGCATCTGCATTAGTGAGTCTACTGTTACTGCTTCACTCTCACGGCTACAAAAACCTAATTTATTTACCTCTATTTAACCAGGAAGTGTCATTGAAATTACAAATCTCTTTTACAAGGGAGACCTAGCCATGGTGTTAGCCATACAAAGTCAAGAAACTCATATAAAACAGATACATGACACTAATATGAATAATAAACAGTAAAACAATAAAACACGTCGACAGCTTTTCTAGGTCAGTGGCCTCTCAAAAAAAAAAATAAAACAGTGACATTAACCTTTCACTGTATTATTTATGATACTATTAAACTAGAAACATTAACATCCATTAATGAGTTTAAGAGTCCATGACCACGGTGCATGACAGGAGAACACTGTTTTACTAAAATCTGAGGGACATTTAAAAGCAGCTGCTTTGAGGCACGCCAATGGGAACTACTGGAGTTGATAGTGAGAAAGGTGTTGAGGTATTCTGGGAGTTTGCCCATAAGAGCTTTATAGATGAACTTATGCCAGTGTTGTCTATGAATGCTTAGTGATGTCCAGCCAACTAAACCATAAAGAACACAGTGGTGAGGCATGAATCAAGTCTCTTTAGGGTGACGGAGGCTGTGTGTCTGTACACTATATCACCATAATCAATCACAGGTAGGAAGGTGGTTTCCACAAGAATGTCCAATGAATGTCACCAACCCATCAAACAGCAGACAGACACAGTTTGCAACCAGCTGGTCACCACTGTGGAGCACTTAGCAGCTAAAAAGGCCAGATTACCTACAAGAGTTCATGGAGAGCTCTTGAATAAACCTAAAACAGGGCAAATATTGGACTTAGATTCAACAAGGGGCCAGAAACAGGACTGCAAATGAGTGATTGTGTTGATCTGAACTGCTGGATGATTAAATCAGCAACTGTTTGCTAACAAGTGTGCAATATTAATGTTGTACTCAGTGTTTTTCAACTGCCTTTGTGAATTTATTTACTTATTTTCTGGCTTCTCTGTGGGCCTGCTAAGATGTTTTAATGCCTTTAAGTTGCCATGTTTTTTATTGTTTTAATATCTCCAGTAGATTATTAATGATGAAGTTACCTTAAGTTGTATTTCAAACTTATCAATTTACAACCTTGCAATTCTCTCTACTCGTTGCACGCTGCGTCCAACTCATCGGTGAACGTGTTTAACAGGCGATGCGCATGCAGACGGAGATGGAGCTGAGGATGTTCAAACAGAACGAGTACGTCTACCACAGTATGAGAGAGGCGGCGCTGAAGAACAAACCGATGGCCATGATGCACGAACCAAAGTCTGTGGAGGAGGGCATCAAAAATCTCTTCCACCGGAAGAAGTAACCAGTCGGGAGAGCCTTCCTATTGTTTACTGCCAACAGCTTTCCGAGTGTTTGTGCGAGAGTCGACACATTTAGTCTCACGTTTTCCGTCTCGCTCGCATTTTGTAGTTACACTTTTCATTAAAATATTGTCCTGCGAAACTTGTGGACTTTGTTTTTGAAACAAGTATTAGCTCTGTGCTCTTACTGCTGCTTGGTGTTAGATGCAGGTTTAGGCAGGTGCAGTTTAACCCATAACACACTTTGGAAGTTACTGTGACCCTGCAATACCAGAATAGGTATTACATTGTAAAGGCGTAAAATATATTACCCAAACAAAACTCCTTCCAGCTGTAAGTGATCTTTGCTTGTACACATGTAATGAAATGAGAGATGCTAGATAAGGTTTGCACATGATTTGATATGGATATTGTCACTCTTTGAACAGCAACAGTAGATTCTGATGCTCTTAGCACCTGGGAAATTGTATGTATAGTTCCTCTATGCTCATGAGAGGGAAGATATACAGGTTTGGAAATTGTTAGTTCCTGCTTTTGTCCTTCTTGGTGGAGCCATACTGGGTTTTCTTAAGGCTGTAATGCAAACTCCAAGACTGTCTCATCTCACAGTTCCCTTCCATTAGCATCATTGAGTAATGAGTTTGGATAATTTGACTTTACATAGAGCTTATGTACAAAATAAGGAATTTTAAAATGTTATCAGCCATCTCGTGTAAATGAATATTTTAACAGATCAGATTTTAAACATGCATTGAGTTATGAGACTTTCAGGTCTTAAGATGCTGGAATTATCAAACCACTGATTAAATTTGACCAAGTTTTTAATGCTAAAGGCCTGTTGTGTTGTCGAATTTTTCAGAGAAGTTCCATTGAGGATAACTTTACACAAGTTAAAATAAAGTTTAGAAAATTAATGGCAAGAAAAAAATTAAATGCAAATATTTACATGCTTAAACTGATATTTAGGGTATATTAGTTCTAAATTAAGCAGCATCCAAACAGTTAAGTGTCCTAAACATCCTCCAATTTGTTTTTAATTCCCATAAACCCTTTTTAAAGTGGTCAAAAACAAACTAGCCTAGGTGCACCATTAGACCCATCCTCGGACAGTCTTTGATAGAAACACTAACTTGGAATCTTCAGTTTGCTTTCAGCTGCTGAGTTAATGTTCACGTCAGCAGAATCAGATCAGAGGGAAACGCCCCTTTAGTGTTCACACATTAGCAGTTGCATCCACACCAGACAGTCTAAAATAGCTCAAGAGTTTGTTACTGAAGTTATACACAGCTCTAAAAATCTATGACGCATGTGCAGCCATTCTGAGAACATGTTTCAATCTTCTCAGCAGCTTTCAGATAATAGTCACCAACTGTGCCATTGTCCCATTTGTAATCAGATGACCTAAATGCAACCAGTTTGAGCATCAGGAAGTCACGCCACCTGCATAGAAGCAGACAACACCCGAGTCCACTGCACGTGAAAGTGACAGCTTTTGCAATTTAGCACAAATTGCTAGAAGCCCTTTAAGCATTGCCAACAATAACTTTAAGTTTGCTACCCGCCATAATCCAGTTTTAGATCATGGAGCACGTTTAGGTAAAAAAAGAAAACCAAAGACAGTTGCTGCTTTTTTTCGTTCACATTTTATTACCCCAAGTGCAGACATTCACACGCGTTTGCTTATCCTCTTGTACACAATGCTTCCAAGAGTCATTGTCTGCAGGGAGAAGAAGAAAGACACTCGTTTAAAACAAAACCCCACACAAGCCAGTCGAGACACAATACTGACCAAGTGAAGAATACTCACGTTGACAAGTGTGTTGGCATCCACCAGCTCAGTGACTGACTCGATTCCCTTCAGGCTGACCTTCAGCTTGTTGCCTTCCAGCCGAACCACCGCCTTTAGGATGCACAACACAGGCTCCATTCAACATCTCATTCAAACTCAAGAGGCTTTTGCAACCATGTGCCATTTTTTGTTTAGTTAACCATCAGTGTAGTGTCCTGGCTCACCTTGATTTTCTCTCCAGTGACCGTCTCCAGCTCAGTCTCCTGTCCGATGGTGAAGGAGTTGGCAAGGGCTTTGGAGCCAGTTGTGACAGTGACTTTATAGTTGTTGCCGTTCACCTCGATCTCGGAGGTGCTCTTGATGTCTTTGCCTTTCTGGATGAGTTCATCAGGAACACCTAAGACGGAGAGCAGGTGGGTTAAGAAAACATGCTTCGTGAAGGTAAATTTCAAGTTAATTATGAAATGAAGAAGTGCAGTTTTGTAAAGATTTTATGAGCAAAAAAATCTAAAGCAAACATGATAAAAGCACAACTCTTACCAATCGCCTTCATGAAAGGCTCAAAGTTCTCCTGGGACTCAAGTTGGTACTTTCCAGCAAAAGACATGGTGGCAGGCAGCAAAAGTAAAGTTAAAAGTGGCTTTCTGCTCCCTTTATACCCGCAAACGGCAGCGGCTCAATCATTAACCACAGGTGACTCCAATTAAGGCAGCTCCAGCCCACCTCGACCAGCAGGATCGACCACTGCAGATAAGGCAGAGAGATAAAACAGTGACGAGGCTAAAGTTAGGCAACTCTCGCTGCAGAAGGGGAAAGTAGGAAAAGGGAGACGGTGTTTCGACAATGTTGATGCAAAGAAATGTGTGTAACTCACTTAAAGCTCTCACACGCTGACATATGATGACACTGCATGTACGGTACAGCAACAACTGCTGACAGGACATAATGTGTTTCATGTTCTCTGTCTTCCTTCGTTCTCCTTCCGTCTCTCAACATTAATTTCTGTTCCTTCTTTTCATTCTTTTTCTGTTTTTCCTTCTGTCTTTTTCTCTCCCACCTCTTCCCCTGTGGTTGTTTTTGTTCTATGCATTTTTTAAAAACCTTTTATTGTCTTAAGAAAACAATCTTTAGATGAAAATAACTTAAAAATCAGCGGAAGTTTTAGAGATTAAGTTTTTCTCTGCAAGTTGAATGTTATCTGTGAAATGCACTTTTTATCATTTCTCCTTATTTGGTGCAAAGATATGAAAATACACAAAGTATTTCTAAGAAAATGAAAGTTTTACTGATAAAGGTCCAAGACATAAATTAACTTTTGTACTACATTGTGTTCCAATTTAACAGCGATCAAGTTGTAAAAGCACATTTAAAGTGCATTTTTCCCTAAAATACAGATGCTTATTATGAATCTTTGTAAATTACTTAGTTTTCAAATTTACTGGAGGGTTTAGTTCTGATATTTGTGACATTTTTTTGGCGGTTTAGTTGGAAAAAAAATCCCCCTGGAGTTTGTTGTCACTTCAGCACAGCATGAACTATAGTCTGCAATTGATTAAAAGGGTACTTTAGTCAGGTGATGTCACTTTTCAAGATAAGCTTCCTGACAAAAAAAAAAAAAAAGGGGGAGCTTTTAAAGGAGAAATCGGGATTTGGCACAAATGTTGGTGCAATGTTGTCTTCAGGGATTTTGCCTTCTTGTGCAAATTCTTTAGTGTTTATAATTAATTTGTCTGGCGTTCTAGAACAAAACCTTAAATGACTAAACCACAAAGTTAACAAAAAAGTGGTTCAAAGGTGACCAAGATAATCGTAGCCACAACTGTTGCAACAGGGACACTGTGTCACTGGAGTTGCCAAGAAAACACATCATGTGAGGATCCTTTGATTTTGCACCACAGGTCCGTTTGCAGGATTATGCAAAGCAGAACATCTGAAAGATAACTGTCGGCTCTGTACGTTTGGTGATAGCGGAATACAGCCTGACACCCGATAACGCTTTGTGCTGACTTGTTCTTAGCTGTGCACGGAACACGGATTTGGAGATTCAATCGGGAGGCTGTGAAATAAAAATCCACAACTTGTACTCTCTCAAAACTTTATTTCAGCATGCACATATCTGGATGACCACTGTCAGTATTCATCCCCTGTTTTCATACATAAAAATATATTGACAAAGGCACTCTACAGACGTTCTCCGCGAGGGGAAAGAGCAAAAATCAGAATGATGATGACAAACATAGAAATACAGCTATATGAACTACGAGTCCTATTTTGGCCCTGCAGCTGGAGACCGTCCAGCGAGACGTCGGCGTCAGGAGCAGCTCATTGGTGGATTCGGTGAGGAGAAGTGTGGCCGGCCAGATGCAGGAATCTGAGGATGATGTCACCGGGGTCGCTGCCTTCGAACTGGCTGCTCTGGTCGTCTCCTTCCTCCTCGATGAGGCAGGATTGGTCCGCGGTGCAGCTTTCTACGGCAGCGATTTCACAACAGAAGAGGATGAAGGAGGAGTTATTACCAAGTTTACGATCATCAGTTGCTGCGACTATACGCTTAACGTCATGCTGTTATCAGGCTTCGTGACCTGGGACCATGAACCAGAGGGCAAATGTAGGAGTTCACCACGACTGAAGTAGTTCAACTTATGTGAACTCATGTCGCCTGTTTAATTGCACTTCATGTGGGTGTTTTAAAATATCTAGCAGCAATCAAGCTTCTAATTCTGGCAGCATCAGTGAAACAGTATTAAAACTTAGTCAAAACCAACGTGCTCATTCCCACAGAAGCAGCGATGTGTCCGAATAAGCTAAAGCAATAGAAAGCAATAGAAAACATTGCAGTACAGGACTTGAACTGAAGTAAACCACCACTGTGGATTTCCTGACCTGCATCACAGCAGAGTCCTGAAGCAGCGCAGCGTCCTCCGTCAGATCCGCAGGGTCTCCCTCCCGCCTGGCAGGGAGTGAGCAGGTAGTTCTCCTCCACACAGTGGGCTGCCTCTGGGGACCCCAGCAGGCAGCCGAGACCCTCCCCACAGCAGATGCCGGGGCCGAAGCAGCGGCCCCTGTCTCCGGGGCCACAGGACATGCACTGGAGGAGGACACAAAGTGATTATTGTCGGCCTTATCTGGAATGTCACCACGACTGATGGTTTTAATCACAAGCTAAAGTTTGTTAAAGTGAATTTATAAAATTCTATATCTATTTATTTCCTAGTTGACGTGATGCAAATTGGTTTGTCCTGGAGGAGAGATTCCTCCTCTAAGCTTCTCTTGTGTGAGTTTTTCCTCATCTAACTCAACGGTTGGAGGTTAGAGAACGCCGACTATGAAGCCGTCGGGGAGCTAATTTGTGACTTAAAAATCTCTCTGAATCCAACAAACATTTGCCATTTTGGTCTAAAATTCCCAAACAAAACTTAATGTTTGACAAAAGCAGCTCACCTTCCGCAGTGGTGCATCTATGATGGACCTCTTCCCACCAATAGGACAGTTGGAGATGTAACATGCTGAACATACAGACAGCAGGAAAAAAAAGCAGACAGACACAGCAGCTCCGGTCATTTCTGCAAAGTAAAGAGAAGACAGAAGACAAGAAAAAGCTCTCAGTTAGGCCCAACCACAAAGCCAAACACTAGAAACTTGTTCAGAGAACAAATGCACTCACTTGTTTCTTCAAGTTCTTGTTTCAGACGCTCCCAGGTGGTTTCTGAGTTCTCTGTTGCGTACGGTGCCACCGACATGTCTTATATACTTCCAAAGCGACTTTTCAGAGTGACGCAGAAACCCAAAAGCCACTTAGAAATCCTTAATGAGCCCGTCTTATCACCTCCGGAGATGAGGCTGACCACTGGGCAGGCCCGGGTCAAAGGGCCAGGCAGCTGTGTGGCCTGGTTTTGCTTCCTACCATTGAGAATGATTAGTGAAGGCCTAGCGGTGCGTGACCGTGCATGTTAGAGACGACGGGAAAGTCAGAGGGGTCAGGATGAGCATGTGGAGATGAATTTATCCCAAAGTGGACACGAGAGCAGTAAAGCTTCGACCTGCATTTTTTTTCAAAACGAAGAATTTCAAGGATTTTCCTCCACATTGAGCATCTTCTCCTGGTGGGTCCAAACCAACATGGCGGCTCTGGAGGCCATGTTTTTTCGCAGAATGGATGTTTGTCAACAAACACAATGATGGGTAAAAAAGTGACCCACACAGACACACACACACATCTAAGAATTTCCCTTTCTATTAATAAAGTCCTTAATTCCTCACAGGAATTGACGCACACATTGTTCAGGTCTGAGGTTAATTGGCCTCATGAGCTAATTAACACAGCTAATGATCCACCACAACCCATAAAAGACAGTTTCACCGTTTCAATGATATGAGCTCAATTACTGCGGCTCCGGCCTGATTTATTAACTGCCACCTCATCTCAATTAAAAAGAGTTGATGGCGTCGTCTTTGTTCGCCAACTTCTGCGCCTAAAGAGGAGATGTTTAGGTCTCACACCAGATCATTAAACACAACTGCAGTCACCAGACAAACAAGACAATAAAGTGTCACTCAGACGGTGAGCCACTCTTGCCTCCTAGTGGCTGTGCTGACAAACTTCAACTATTTGTGCTTTATGTTTGTCATTGTCAGTTAGTTTTCATCTGTCATGCTTTTGCAGGAGGTGGACAAAATAACAGGAATACTTTTTAAGCAACAATCTGTTACAAGAACGCTGCAAACAAGGCAACAAAAAAAATTACCATTTAGAAAGAAGAAAAAAAACACTAAAATGGAAAAAAAAAGAGAAAAACTGCACATCATAAATCTCACAGGATTGATTTTCTGCTGAATTGCATTATATTATGCAATGCTTTTGTTGCAGCTCCTCTGTGATAAACACTCTGAACGTCTGACACACACACTTCCATCTGCTGGAACCTAAATGATTTGGAACGTCTTTAACGGGAATATTTTATATATGCTGTTCACACAAGCTCAGGATCTTTTTTATCTTTCATCTAAAAAAAGATTTGCATTCATTCGTACATATAAAAGCTGTCATTGTGCGTGTGCGTCTCTTTGAGCTGGATAAACAGACGCAGCCGAACGGTTTTAAGAGACAGATCATCTTCCATCATAGCATGTCACCTCACAGCTGTTAAAACCTTCAAACTGCATTGTTTTGTGGTGAAACATCAGATCTCTGCCTCCCCGCGTTCCTCCAAAAGCTGTGCAAATCCCTATTTCATAGAGAAATGGAGATGTCTATCTAGTGTTTCCTTATTTTTCTGCAGGAAGGCACTAGGCTTGTTGACTTCCTCTCCCCTCCCTTCCTTCCTTCTCTCCGAAGGTACTCATCTGAAAAATGAGAACAAAGTGATTGTTCCTGTTCTCTTTCTTAAGTCACTTCAAATGCTATCCGTGGACGGGCGGCTCATTGTCAGGAGAGTTGCAGCGCGAGCAGGAGGGAGAGAAGACGCAGGTACAGGTACACCACCACCACCACCACCACCAGCAGCAGCTGCAGCAGCACTTCAGCCACAGCATCACAGAAAACACACTCAGCCGGTGAGTTGCGCACACACACACACACACAGACTCGGCTGCAGGCTCGCACACTTGCATGGCAGCGACTGGCACACGAGGAGGGGCTTCGGTTTTAATGGATTGTTTGGAATGCACGGTGTGGCAAGAACAGGGTAGGGGTCTCTGCACGGAGCAACTTAAGTAGGAGAAGTGAGGAGGATTAAAGAAAAGGAGAGTCCAGATGAAACTGGCTGAAAAGGAAACACTGAAAACTTCACCCCTGCAGAAGCTGTTTAAAATAAGCATGGACAGACGTAGGATGATATTCTTCTTACATCCTATGTGGGGTTTATGTTTCCTTTATATCATCTTTAATTGCAAATGTACATCCAAACATTTCTGTCTTTGTGATTCCAGCATTTGCTTGTTTTGATGGAGTGGGTTTCGCTGATTGCAGGTCTTCAAAGTGTGTTGAAGCTAAATTACCAAATGAATTATTTTTTATATAAATGTGTTAATTTACCTGCAATACATGCAAGTTTTGTTGGTCTGCATCTCGTCCTTATGTCATATTTTCGGCACGACTTGGAGAAGTTTGTGTATGTTAGGCGCTGAAATACTCGAGTTGTTGATCAGTCAAATGATATAAAATGTTCTTTACTTTTCTAAGCAAATAACACTAAAAATATGTCCCAGCTTCTTAATTATGAGCTGCTTTTCTTTAACTATTGTGACAGTAAATGGAAAATCTTTAGGATTTGGATTTGACATTTTAAAAATTAATTGGCATTCTCACTATTTTCTGATATTTTTTGACCAAAACTAAGTTAAGAAAATACCTTCAGATTAATCCACCCTGGAAGTTATGTCCAACTGCTGCCCTATTTATGTTAAAATGTGTGTTTTGTGCGTATTATCAAATAGGAGGAATAGTCGTATTAGAGAGATGGAACCTGTAACGGGCAATAAAGTTGAACTTGCGGTCATGATGCAGTGGATTGATAAAGTTCCCTGAAGTCTCTCATTGATAAGCACAGAGCTGTTTACAGGAATAGAATAGAATAGATGTGTGCAACACTATTCTGAATGTCATGCAGAAGTAAGACAGTTCCCCTCTGACTATCTTTTAATCCATGACCATCGTCTGCACTGAAGCCCAAACTGCAAACAGAGATGCAACGTAGATCTCTAAACCATCTGAACGTCACAGTTTTGACATGATCAGTAATTTAATTGCACCACATATGGATTAAAACGTCAAGTATCAGTGGAGGAGAAAAGGGGAAGTTCTTCCTGGCAAAACAAAAAAAAAAGATGAACAGAGCAGAGAAAAAAAAAAAAGAGATGGAGAAGCGAAAAGTGTGCTGGAGGTGGAGGTGAGCATTTCACACATAACTTCCTAATTTCAGGCAAGGAGGAGATCTGTGAGAAAGGAAGAAGTGAAAGGTTTCAGGTCGAACACTGAAAGGTGTGGGTGTCGACGCCCGCCTGCATTCCTTCCACGGGAATCTTCTGAGAAGCAGTTTCATATCATGAATAGAAACTAGACATAAGGTCGCTGCATTTACTTTTGTCCACTCTTTCTCTAAATGATGTCTGTCACTGAGGCTGGAAGCAACAAAGAGAACTCAAGAATTTAGCTTATATACAGATTTTAAGGCTTTTTCTTAGTTTTTTAATCGTTAGTTTCTTTCTCCACGACATTTCAGAGGGAAATTTTGTGTTTTCTGCTCCATTATATGTCCTGATAGCTACAGTTACCTTTTATTGTTCAGCTTAAAGTTTAAAATAAAAACTCACATGACAGGAAAATCTGTTATTAAAAGTGAAACCAGTGATTCCAGACATTTTTGTCTTGTGATTTCTTACAAAAACCCAAGTTCTCTTTTGGGAGAACCATCTGACTACCTAACAGAAAATCTATTAATATAATTGTGCATTAATGCATCAGTATAAAAAATCCAGTTCTGCCATATATGGTCACAAATTAGTCATGGTTTTACTTTTAATACTTAAAATACAGTTTTCTGAAAATACTGTTTCACTTGAATGAGATGCCAACTTTTTCTTGCAGTGGCGCTAATGTGAAAGAGTTTTCCATGAATTGAATGTTTAAAGTGTTGCACTCATATGACACTGTCAGGCTCAGTGGTGGAGCAGAACCATCTTTGTTCTTGCATCGTCCTACTTCTCACCCATCTATATAACATGATGAGTGTTTTATGCTAATAGAGGCTAATGTAGACCTGCAAACAGACTTTGATGTATAAAACCAGTGGACATTTAATCACTTGTTGTTCTTTTTAATGCAGAAAGAAGATGGAAAAAGACAGAATTAACTTCTCACCAGGAAGAAGTCCTTCTCTCAGAGACGAGCTGAGACAGACGGCTCAGCGTGGTTTCTACCTGAACCCAGCTCCGCTCTACATAAAGCCCCCAAAGTTCTCCCCCTCCAGATACCCCACCAGAGACACCTACAGTGCATTCAGCCCACCTGCTTTCTTTCCCATGCTTGGTCCTGGTTTCACCCAAAGGGAAGGATCCCAGAAACGCAAAAGAACTCCTTTCAAAGTCGACGCCCAGGGAGGTGAGTCTCCTGACAGGGAGGCCGAAGAGGCAGAAGAAAGCAGCAGTAAGAAGACGGTGGACCTCGCCCACGTTCCCTTCTCCCTCCCACCTCGCCCCATTCCCTCCCCATCTGCAAAACCCATCCCCGGCATGATTGAGCTCAACAGACTGCAGCTTCATCACAGATCACCGGGTATGAATCTACCTGTGCAGGTGAAACAGGAGCCTCTCAGTCCCTCCCCTGTTTGGCCTCCCTCTCCTCTCCTCCTCCACCCTCCCTACTTCCCATCTCTCCACCACGGCCTCCTCCCGTACCCCTTCTTCATGCCCGGGCCCGTCATGCACCTCTCCCCCGGCGCCTTCTACCCCAGAGAGGACCTCAGATCCGGACCCCGCGACGGAGCTCCTCGAGGCGGAACAACCAGCGCGGAGAAGCTCGGCCTCAACGTTCACGTGGACGACAGCTACTACGTGGACGTAGGAGGGGACCAGAAGCGATGGAAGTGTCGGATGTGTGAGAAGTCCTACACCTCCAAGTACAACCTGGTCACACACATCCTGGGCCACAACGGCATCAAGCCGCACGGCTGTCACCTGTGTGGGAAGCTGTTCAAGCAGCTGAGCCACCTGCACACACATCTGCTCACACATCAGGGCATGAGGCCTCACAAGTGCCAGGTTTGCCACAAGGCCTTCACCCAGACCAGCCACCTGAAGAGACACATGATGCAGCACAGTGACGTGAAGCCGTACAGGTAAATCATCTGCACCGGTTACTTTTGTGCCCCTTTTTAATCCCAGTTTTTCTTCTAATACACCTTTTTTCTTCACCTCCAGCTGCAGTGTGTGTGGTCGAGGATTTGCGTATCCCAGCGAGCTTCGTGCCCACGAGCTGAAACATGAAAAAGGTCAAGAGAACGTGTGCGTGGAATGTGGTCTGGACTTCCCAACGCTGGCCCAGCTGAAGCGGCACCTAACCGTCCATCGTGGTCCCACCTTGTACAGGTGAGCTCAAAATCCTTCATCCGTAAGCGGAGTCCATCAATGAAGCTTGTTTTAACAAATGATACAGATAAATTAGGAGCTTTAAAGTGTCAGTAGGTGAATTTTGTTACCTCTACACGGAGCTTGGTCACCTCTTCTCACCTGTTTCCAGCCTTCATGCTACTTTAAACTTAAAAATAAGTGAACAAATGAGAAATTGCATGTCAATTAGTGAGCTTGAAATGTAAATTAACACTTCTGGACAAAGCCTGGTTGTTTTTTTTTCCCTCCTGCTTCCAGGCTTCATGCTAAGCTAACCAGCTGCTGGCAGTAACCCCTAAACTTAGTGGACAAATAAGCATGATCTTATCTTACCTGCATGATGGTGCATTTGCCATTTTAAACATTTCTGCTTCTCTGCAGGTGTGCAGAGTGCCAGAAGACTTTCCAGTATCCGAGTCAGCTTCAGAATCACATGATGAAACACAAGGACATCCGACCGTACATCTGCAGCGAGTGCGGGATGGAGTTCATCCAGTCACACCACCTGAAACAGCACACGCTCACTCACAAAGTAGGTTGAAAACAAAACGGAGGAGACAAAGACGTAGATTCTTGTCAACGCTTTTTGACACAAAAACATGGATTTTTGGCGTCAAACAGAGTTATCAGTTTTTTGCTGTCACACCAACGACATTTATTCCTGGTTCACATGTTGGATAGTGAAGATGGGTGAAAGAGTTTGGACACCAGCCGAACAGGTTGTTTTGGCAGCTGTCTCAAAGCAATTTCCCTTCAGTTTTGGCTCCTGTGGCTAATTTTAACCCTTTAACATCCAGTTTTCATCCTTTGTTTCCTTTTATAAAGCTTTACAATTACAAGACACACAGTTTTTTTTTCAATGTTTTGATTTTTAGACTATTGGATCAAATGTATGCATCATTTTATGCACATTTCCCCCCTCGTAACACGATCTAAAGCAGCTTAAACAAACCAGAATTTCAACCAAATGACTGACTCTTCTCTCTCACGCTTTCACATTCTTTCGCTCTTTAGGGGGTGAAGGAGCACAAGTGCCGCATCTGTGGCCGCGAGTTCACCCTGTTGGCCAACATGAAGCGCCACGTCCTCATCCACACCAACATACGAGCCTACCAGTGCCACATGTGCTTCAAGAGTTTCGTCCAGAAACAGACCCTCAAGGCTCACATGATCGTCCACTCGGACATCAAGCCGTACAAATGCAAGGTTGGTCAAGTTCGTCAGACGCAACCTCTTTGGGTTGTGTTTTGGACGTTGATTCCTCTTTCGCTCACCGATTGAAGGAACAGTTCAACATTTTTGGGAAACGCTCATTTGTGTGTGCAGTGATGAAAAACAGCAAAAGCAAATGGCAGTTAAAGATAGTAAAGATAGATGATGGCTATTCTCATTCTCTAAGCTTAATCAAGAGCATATCATTGCTACCATGACAAAAGAAATCCACTTTTTGCACCTAAATGCAACCAAATCACAGTTTTTTTTTCTTTGTAGTGGTTTTAAAGGCAAAGACGAATAATTTACAAACATTATTTTGTAATTTACTACAATTTGCAGGACTTTTATTTAATTCCAAAACTACAATCAGGGCAGGCAGTTAGCTTAGCTTAGCACAAAGACTGACAATAAGAGGAAACGGCTGGCCTGACTGACACATGATATTCAATTTGTTTAATTTGAAGAGGCACAGAGAAGTAATACGCTGCAGTTATTTGATATCTTTGCACAAAACCAGGAACACCTGTTTCCAGTGTTCGTGCTAAGCTAAGCTAATCAGCTGCTTGCATCTTGCTTGAGACATATCAATCTTCTCATCTCAATCTCATCAACAAGGTGAAAGTGTATTTAAACTATTTGCTCCTTATTTTGTGCTTGGATGAAGGCATCAAGACTCCAAGTGCTGCCTCTCATGATTATTATTATTCGTTCATCACCACATCCAGGAACCTACAATATTTAGTGGCAGCAGCTTTTAGAGGCTTTCCCCATACTTTTCTGGAGCGTCTGTTTTGACCTTGGTGTTTGCTGCGAGGTCTGAGACGATGACCAGATAGCAGAGAGGCTGAGGGGAGTGGGAGCCTCCTTGTCCATAGGAAGGATATCGCCGCACAAACTGCCTCTCTAACAATGGCCCCCCAGCCTCCCCGGAGAACAGGGCCCGCAAATAGATTTCATCTCGCTTTCTCTGCTGCTGGAGGGAGCTTCCTGTTTTCTCACGGTCCTCTTGGACAGTTTACAGTCCCTCTCTCCTCCTGAAGGAAAGGACCACCCTAATAAAAAAGAATGCAGAGGAAGGACAGCGCAGGAGTTGCCCTTCCCTGTTCTCCTCCTGGCCCCGTCTCAGTGTTGCTTCCTCTCTCTGTGTCTCTCTCTTTCTGTTTTTCTTGTGTTTCAGGGAGAGAGAGAGGGGGGAAGACAGAGAGGAAAAGAGGAAAACAAGGATGGAGGGAGGGAGAAAGGGTGTCTGGGCGTGGGTGTCTATGTATATCTGAATGCCTGCACATTCATTCATGATTACGTGTAGCTCCGCAGCTCGGCATTCTGAGAAAATTAGTCATCTGACAAAAGGGATCTGGCAGAGAAAGAAAAACAATAGCTGCTTGTTGTTGGCTTATTGTTTCTGGATCCTGGCATGGTGTTTACTACAGCCACCGGAGAGGAATATTTACTCGACTACTGTAATCAAGCGCAATTTAGAGTTTTACCACTTTTTAAAAACTTTCATTCCACTGCACATCATAGGAATATATTTTGTTTTTTAATCACCTACACCCTGCAGCTGTAGTTACTACGACTTTGCAGATTAAAATGTGCAAATTTATGCAGGCGAATGTGCAAAGCTCTTTATATAGATTTTGTAAATAATGCATTTGTACTTTAACGTATAGCATTTTGGTAAATAGGTTTATTCTCATTATGAAATTTCATGTTAACATACAACTACAGCAAGCCATAGCGGTTTAATATAACTTTGCAGGTAATTATCGCTCATTTATTTAAAGAGATCATCAGTGACATGATCGTGCATTCCTCTGTCTTGTCTTTCAGCTTTGTGGGAAGGAGTTCAACAGGATGCACAACCTAATGGGCCACATGCATCTGCACTCAGACAGCAAGCCCTTCAAATGCCTCTACTGCCCCAGCAAGTTCACGCTGAAGGGCAACCTCACCAGACACATGAAGGTCAAACATGGCGTCATGGACAGAGGGTTGGATGAAAGACGTAAGGATGCGGTAGATGTTGCACACTTTTGCAGTCAAAGTTTCATCGTGTAATTGCTTTTTTGAATCTTTGATTGCAGTGTTTCGGCAAAGAGGCCGGTTCTGCCTGTCCACCTCGATGGGCCTCCTCACCCACTTCAGCCAAGAGGAGCCCTTCGACCTCTCCCAGAAGCCCCCCGGTCTGCCCAGCCTCCGCCTCTCCCAGTCCGATGGCGAAAGCATGCCGGGAAGCTCCTGCCAGGAGGAGGAGGACGAGGAGAGCTTGTACAGAAGGAGTCAGTACAGCCCCGAGGTGGACCAGCACGAGCCGGCAGGCGAGGAGCAGTACATCCCCGAGCTGGAGGAGAGAGGGCCGAGCAAGGCTCAGAAACAGCAGAAGTACCAGCAAAGTTTAGAGGACGAGACGTTTGAGAGGGAGTCAGCAGCAGAGGGAGAACCTGTAGATCCCAGAGAGAACCAGGTGCGCCGCTCACAGTCAGAAACATCCTACGAATCCGACGCAGAGCTAGGCGAGCAGGCGTACGGCCACGAAACAGTCCGTAGGCAGTCGTACGACTATGAATCTGTTTCAGAGCTAGAGGACCATCAGCAGGAGCTAGACGAGGAAAGCAAACGGGAGTCGGATGGCTTTTACGAGGCCATCGATGTGGCAGAGACAAACTAGAAAAGACTGGAGACGGATTAGTGAAACAGTGGCACACAAGTGAATTTACGGGTCGCGGGGTGAAAACAAAGACAAGCAATGAGATAAATCAGTCAAAGAATGAGAAGAAGATGCAGGTTTTAGGGAATGTTGATGTTTTTCTTAACAGGAAAAAGGAGAGGATGTTCCGCAGACACTCCCCTGAGGAGAGAGGAAAGCGTGTAGGTCTCAAAACACAACTGACTTTGGAGGATGTGAGCTCGTAGCTTAACCAAAAAAAAAAAAGAATGTTTAACATATTGTGTGTTTTTTTTTTAAAGAGCAAAAAATAAAAATAACTGAAATACAAAGCTGTGAAGCATACTGCATGTACATACACTGATCAATAGTCGCTGACTGACAGGTTTGTGCGAATGGAAGCATACGATTAGAAGTTTTTGTAAATAAAATGCAAAAATATATTTAATGTTTTAGTTTTTTACAAATCATTTTGCAATGTTCGCTCAAATATGCAACTTTTATCGTCTAATCTGTGATATAAAAATCTGTTGTGCATGCTTTCCTGTACAAAAAGTCTAATTCACTGGGTGTAGTGATGTTTTTTATGTTTGACTGACAACGCATACGGCAAAGCTTGAGTGTCTTTATGGAATAAACTGTGATTTTTCTTTTAATTTTCAAATTTTAGAATGGTTTATGTATATGAATTTTATATGGGGGACGTCTGGGTTTTTATGGTATGTTGTATGGCAGTGATCTGATTGTGATTCTACAAAATAAATGCTGAAATAAAAGCTTGAACGCGTCAACCTGTCCAGTTTACCTGCAGATTTGTTTTATTAGATATAAACATCCCTGTAAGTGATCGCAGATAGCACCTTCCAGTCCTCTCCGACTGACACGTACTTCGCCAAGCAAGAGATGATTGCCGTGTGTTTCAAAAAGCTTGCCTTTCTCCTCCTGCTTCTCTTTCAAAGCAGAGGAAGAGGAAGAGAAAACACCTCTCCCCTTCTCTCTTTTAGGTTGTGATCAAACAGCGGTGACGGACACAGTGGGTGTCCCAGACAAAGGCTTCATATGTCTGTATGACTCAGAATAAAGCATTGTTTCAGCTCATTGCAGAAGCTCCTCTGAAAATAGAAATACTAGAAGAATGAAAGAATGCCTAAAAAGATGTTTCTTTATCATAAAGAAGAAAAGGATCGCGTGGGATGAGTCGAATATATCTGACAGCTACTGCTTTAGGAAGTAATTAATCCAAAGACAGCTGTTTACTGTGTTTGAACCGACACCGTGCCTCCTGGGTTACACATCACTTTATCATGCCAGTTCAGGTAAACACAGTCGTTTCTTGGCAGATGAAATGCAGAACAGCAGCTTCTCTATTTCTACCAGCGACGACCACCGCGTCCCAAAGGGCGAAACTGCAAACAGTTTGAGGAAGTTCTCACATCCTCCTCTTCTTTCCTTTCCTCACCTACATGTTTCAATCCCAACCGCTGGCTTCAAGAGAAGCCACAGAGAGTGGATGCGTCGTCGTCTCCTGACTCGAACCGGCTCCCCTCGGCAGCATCACGTTGTCTAACCTCTGAAGAATGAAGAAGAACGTGTAGAAGAAGTGATCACAGCTCAAACACGTGATGAAAGATGATGCTTCATGAGTTGACTCCATCACTCCGGTGTTTTTTTATTTTTTAATGAAATGAAACTTAAGAGGCCATGAGAATCCAAAGACACACGGCAGGACAGGTAAACGCTTGTCTGATGGGAAAATAAATCCTGTGGTGAGATAAAGCAGAGGTTCTGCTTTGCGGTAACAAAGTAATCGTCGTCATGGTAAACTGATAAGATCATGTCTCATTAGCAAAACGACAACCTATGCGTTTAGTGGCGACGGAAAGAAAATCTAAATCACCCAAACTTTGTAATTTACTCTCAAATTAAGCTTTCAGTTAGTTGAAGTGTGTTGCAAAACACTGACTTAAACAAGTGTTTACCTGCACATTTTACTAATACATGCAGATCAGAGGGCTGCAAGGTGGAGCGGTGGTTAGCATCGTTGCCTTGCAGCAAGAAGGTTGCCGGTTCGCGTCCCGGTGAGGACACCTGGGATCTTTCTGCGTGGAGTTTGCATGTTCTCGTGGGTTCTCTCCAGGTTCTCCGGCTTCCTCCCACAACGTCCAGAAACATGTTGAGGTTAATTGGTGATTCTAAATTGTCCGTAGGTGTGAATGTGAGTGTGCTTGGTTGTCTGTCTCTAAGTGTAGCCCTGTGATAGACTGGTTACCTGTCCAGGTGAACCTGCCTTCACCCTGAGTCAGCTGGGATAGACTCCAGCCCCCCATGACCCTAGTGAGGATTAAGCGGTGTACAGATAATGGATGGATGCAGATCAGAGGTGAATCACATTAATCCATTTTTTGGTGTTCTGTCTCAAACTTCCAGATTTGCTGATTTAGTGCTGAAACTATTCGCTGATCAATTTATTTGTCAAGCGGGGAATTGATCAAAAAGTGTTTTAATTGTTTAATGTCAGTCGTTGATTAAGCAAAAATGCTCCAAACTATAATCACCAATTTAAAGATGTCCTCCTGTTCTCTGTTTCATATCATTGTAAGTGAAGCATTTTTGGTTCTAGCAAACTGTATTTGACATTTTGCATGATTTTCTTACAATCTGTAGCTCAAATTGACACGATACACTAACATACGGTGGCTAGGAAGTGCAAAACAAATGTTCAAGTGGCGAAAAACTTTTACAAACTCCCAAAACACTTTTAGAAGTAACATCAACCGGAAAGGGAATGTACCAACTCTGGGATTAAACCGGAAGTGGTAATGGGGAGCGGCCAGTAAGAGTTGTTGTTGTCATTTATGGAGTTCATGGTGACCCAAGATGGACAGCGATAGAGTGATGTTTTGCCTGTTTTGTTGCACACATGAGCCGATTAACCCAGCTTTCTGGTCCATGCCCCTTTAAAAATTCTACAGACTGACCACACGAAAAACAAAACCGCGTTAATCGGCTCATGTGTGCCACAAAACAGGCAAAACATCACTCGGTCGCTGTCCATCTTGGATCACAATGAGCTCCATAAATGACAACAACAACTCTTACTGGCCGCTCCCTGCTACCACTTCCAGTTGGTACATTCCCTTTCCGGTTGATTTTACTTGTAGAAGTGTTTTGGGAGTTTGCAAAAGTGTTTCGCCACTTGTAAATTTGTTTTGCACTTCCAGGCCACCGTACCAACAGTTGTTATGTATAGGAGCGACCTGACAGCTGAGTGGTTTGTCCAACTCCTGTCTATTTGCTGCATGTTACTCCCTGACTCTCCATATTTCCTGTCTCTCTCCACTGCAAGCCACAAAAAGGCCCCTAAACAAACAAAAAAACAACAAAAATATGTTCTTTACAGATGCACAGAACAACCATCCTCATCACGATCCAGCAGAAGCTCTGTGTTGTCGTTTTAAAGACCCTTGAGAAAAACAGTGAACAATAAGTAATACTCAGGAGCTGCAGTGCTGATTTGTTTTATGTTAAACAAGGGAATATCAGGTTGTATATAACAGGGTGGCCCCCATCCTGTTTCATTCTCTCCAAAATGCACTTAACTGTTACGTAAGAAGACAAAACGCTTCACATTCTTTCTGAAGCAGGTGATGCCGTAGAAGAGGAGAGGGACGAGCTCGTTGGAAAACATTCAAATGACTTTCCAAGAACTTAACCGAGCTGCATTTTACAGGATGGATGTTTTCCAGGTAGGTACTTTAATATACAGAATACAAATCAGACTTTCTGAATCAATATCCTGTTCGCTTCTTTTCCAACAAGTCTGGAAAATGTTTTATTTATTAAATGTATTTTTTTATTTACTTCCAACAAAGCCTGCTTCTGTATGTTTTTGATCATGTTTTCATCCTGTTGTGTTTTATATTATTAAGATAGAGCTGCTAGTGCATAATAATTCTGGGATTTTGTTCCTTTGTTTTGCACATAATCTATGCTGGTTGGTTTTAATGTAAAGTTTCTCTCCGGTTGTTGCTGTAACCAATAAAAACTCATCTCTGTGTTGTATATTTAGAGGTTTTTGTTCTATAAAATAATCTCCTCCTGTCCTAAAATGGCTTAGATGTAGCTTGTTACCATTGCTTTCTTCTAGCATGTCGTCTTCGCCTTTTTCTACACCCATACCTTCCCACTTGCTGCAGCTCGAGCACACCAGCTCACCTAAAGCTCTGCTCAAGCACTGCAAAACTATTCTACACAATGCAGTCCCAGGTTATAACATTCAACTTTGCACATATTTGCTCAATTTTGATAAAGAATAATGACACAGAAAGCTGCAAGACTGAATTTTTCTGACATTTACTATGTTTAAAATCCTGGAAGTGTGAATCTGTGTGTCATTGGTACACTGCAGCTTCAGCACGATTGCAGTTGACTGCTTTTTTTGCTCATGATATGTCTTCTAATATATAAAAAACACAATATGGACATGCTAACAATAGGTTAAAAGCACATTTTTGTACAAAAGGGGGTCTTTAAATATATAATAAGTAAAAATTCACAAAAAGTGACATCTTATTTGATTGTTTGGTTGACATACTTCGTGTCACAGTCATATTATTTATAGGCGGTTACATGTGTTGTTTGCCATCCTGTATAGACACATTATATACAATGCCCTTTTGTGTCACATGCCTTTGTTTCACCTATACGACCTTCCCCCCTCCTTGTCCTATATCCTACATATGTGAAATAAAAGAGGAAGTAGCCACGGGATAGATGCAACTGAGATACTGAGAACGTATACTTCTGAATTCTTTGCACCACATCCGCAAACAGATACCTGAGGAGAGTGTCTGAAACAGTACTTTTGATGAAAAGTCTACAGCAGAAAATTAGACTCTCTTCTAGGTATATTCCTGAAAAGACGTCTGCGCTTGTAGAATTGTTTACGTCCTTTGACTTCTCTCTGTTGTGCATCTCAGGTACGAGCTTCCTGTTTTGCTGGTCGGCCAGAAAGCGAGATGGTGCTGCAATTCTTCCATGTTTTGTTTAACAAAACTGTCCCACCCCAGTCTCAACCTGTCACCTCCTTTGACCCACAGCCAAGATGCTTACTGTAATAATAGCAGAGGGCTGTTCTCCTGCTGCTGTGCTTATGGAGAACAAAAACAGAGGACAACAGGTCAGCGGCCCTGCTATTCGCAGAACAAATAAATTTACACGTCGTGTAAAAGTGAAACAGCTCGGCTGTATATTTCATGAAGCTGTCCTGTAACTTCCTGCTGTATTTTGAGGATGTGCTACTATTTTAGGGATTGTTTACAATCTTTTAAACTTGACTGGACACATCTGATGTCCAGAGAAGCTTCAGGAATCAGTCATCCATGATGCTGAGTAACTAACTGGGGCTTTTCGTGGCTTTATGTGCAGCAGCCACCGGGCAGAGTGAAGCTCTGGCAGTTCTGTCTCCTTCTTATATAAACAGTGCCCTCTATTGTCACAGCTTTGCCCTTCTCAGGTCTTCTCCTCTCTCTTTTTTTTTTAAATTTCTTTATTAATAAGATATTTTATATTGACATACAACATTTAATTTAAAACTGCAGTCCTGACACAGTGCTACTTTTATTTCTCAAAGCCAACAAATATATCTGTAATTTATTGATTAGAAGAAGAACATTGCTTGAGGAAGATAAGTATTATTACAAAAAAAGCTTTCAAAAGACATGTAGCTCTAAAATATTGCATCTTATTAATTTAACTTAATTTAACTAATTCGATTTAATACATTATTGTGTCATTTTGCATATCCTTGTTCATGGAATAAATATACAGAGTTTTGGAAAGTTGCGCCAAGATGGAAACTTCACATTTACAAACCTGCTGTTGTCTTGCTTTAATACAATGAGGATAAAAAAAAAGGAACACAAAATAAACAAATATCATAGCATATTAATAAAATATATACATTCAAAATAGATACTGCATCAGTTAAAAGAGATAGATTTTCAGATTTTACATTGAATTTATTACATAAAGAATGTATTGAATAGATTTAGGCTAAATATGGTTTATTATGAAATGAAATGAAATGAAAAATACTTTATTTATCCCAGAAGGGAAATTCAATTATGAAAATGATTATGCATTTTAGAAATGTAAATGTTTATTCACTCACTTTTTAAATTTTTATTTATTTCATTTAATGTTATATATATATCATTAAAGATTATTAAAGAACCTTTTTCTTCTTGCATTTTATGTATATTACTTGTAGCTCTTGGTACAACCCACCATCGCCGGCTTGCGGAAACGTCATCAGAAGTATCAAATCATCCCCCCCGCCGCGGCTACGAAATGGTATCGTCCAAAATGGCAGCCTCCGTGTTGAAGCGATGTGTGACTGCAGCTGTCAAAGTTAAATGTTTATCTCCTTCTCTTTCAGGTAGGCGCATTTAACACATGGTTGCGAGTAAATTATAAGTTTGCCTGATTTTAGTTTTATATTTAACATGTATTTGTTTCGTCTTAAATGTGTGCATTTGAGAGTTTCGACTAGAGGAGCTAAATGTCCCCATTCATGTGTGTTAACGTTGGTTAGCTGCATGTAGCATCATTACCCAACGTGAAGTTTCAGCTGAGCTCACAGTTTGCTTTTGCTGTCTGAGGGTGAAACAGCCTGTTACTGTGCAGTATTTGTATCTACATGACTGTTTGTGTTCACAGCCAGACGATGGTTGCTCTCGGCAGCTTACACAGACACCAAAGTGTGGGAGGCGAGAGAGACAGAAGCCCAGAACCTGGGTAAGACTTACATGCTAAGGTCTCTATGTCATTGTTAACGGACAGCCCAGCCAGAAATCAGAAGGTGCAGGTTAGGACTTGGAATGTTATCCAGGGGAACCTGCATTTTCTTTATTTGAGAGTTCAGCAGTCAGTCCAAATGAAGGCAAACTGGAGATATTAATTCATCATGTATGTGAGTTTGTGTCAGTGTGTGTCTATACATGTTGCAGACTGGTGACCTGCAGTTATTTAGACTCCTGTAAGGCTGGTGATACAGCTGGAAAATGTAGTTTGAAGTGTTTCAATTCAAGGCAAGGCAGGTTTACTTGTAAAGCACAATTCGTACCCAAAGTGATTCAAAGTGATTCACACAAAAGTATAAGAAGACAGATAAAATCAATCCACAGAACATAAACACAATTATTAATTAATTACATTAAAACCAAAGAGGCAGATAAAATCAATCCACAGAACATAAACACAATTATTAATTAATTACATTAAAACCAAAGAGGCAGATAAAATCAATCCATAAAACATAAATATAATCATCAATTAGAAGAGTACAGATAAACAACTAAATAGAACTGTTTCCAGCCTGGATTTGAACATTGTCAAAGTTGAGGCCTGTTTCATATCTTCTGAAATCCAGGTCCAGATTTTAGCTGCATGAAACTGGAACGCAGCCTCACCTTGTTTGGTCCTGACTCTGGGCACCAGCAGGAGACTCCTCCCTGAGGTTCTCAGAGCCCGACATGGTTCATATGGCACTAACGTTCAGTCATTTTTAATGTCCTGTTGTCCTAAAAGGGAGTTCATTTGAATTTAGCCACCTTACTACCACTTATGGTGCCATGGTCCTATAATACTCTCAAAAATACCTTTATTGGCAAAATTTTGGTGCTAGACCTTCATCAGGCAAATGGATTTTGTGTCTCTCCTACGCATCTACCTCATGAAATAGGTGTTTGACGAGTTACTATGTCAATAATCTTGCTGGGAGTTTACATCTAATGAATTTAAGTAGAAGCATCTCACTATTCTCTTATTGCTGTTGATGAAGAGTCTATCAACAGCACGTTTTATCACCCAGGCCGAGGCCCTTACACATTATAGCCAGTTATAGTGAGTGGATTTGCAGTATGACTGGATTGAGAGTCCCTGAAGGTTGCAAAGGGCGCTCTAGTTATGTTTTTCTAATTCACACAACGCCACATTGTGTACTATATTACATTCTTAGGAAGGACTTTTGAAGGACTCTATGCTGCAACATTGCTATAAATTATACCAGAGGACTTTGGTACTTTTTGAGTGTATTGCCCACAAAATATAATTATTAACTGTGTTTTCTTCTTAGATTAAACATTTCCTTATTAAAATCCATTTATTTCTTGGGTAAAGTTCTGATACAGCTTCACTTTGCCTGTTTAATTTATTGGTAAACAAAATAAACACTCACATGAAGCATTTTTACCTCATAGCCCCACTATAATCTCCAGCTACAGCCACACATGGGTGAAAGATAATTCATTGCAGGTTATTTTATTTCAGTTGAATGAAAAAATAAAACCTTTTTGTTAATCGATGTCTGACTGCAGCATCAAACGTTAGTGTGTGTGCACTGATTCAACACAGGGTGGCAGTGCAGCCTCATCGTTCACCGTCACTGTGTGCTCTTCAATAGTGTGGATATGATTTGTACACACAGATTACCATGGCTTAGATACAATGATAATTAGAGATGCTAACATGCTGAAGTTTCAAATGGATCACAGCTGATCATGAAGTATTTGATGATTCAGTCAAATACATTGAAGTTTGTGCTGCTTTCTGTCACACAGGTGCATCACAGTGTCACACCGTGCTGAGATCACATTATAAACCAAATGATAGTTTTGTTGATGTTTGTTCTTTTTAAATGTACAGCTGTACTGGCTGCCGACATGGACAGGATCTATGAAAAGAACCTGCCAGTTAGCTCTCTGACTATGTCACGGGTAAGCTGCATCTCTATGTAGCTGTAATTCATTTGTTTAAGCTGAATTTAATGGAAGCAGGGACAGAGTTTTAAATAACTCTTTATATTTTCTGTTTCAGTTCATTGACAACATATCATCCAAGGAGGAAGTTGATCAAACCGAGTACTACCTTTACAAGTACGAGGAATCAGTTCTTCTTCATATCTGTGTCAAATATCTTCCCTGGGTTTTTTTTGTGTGTGGTACCAACTTATGTGTTTCTCTTGGAATGAATTGTCTGTTTGGTTTGTCTGTTTTGGTTTATGTTCAGTCACATGCTTTTCTTTGTTCGGGGCAACTCCAGACCTTTCCTGTTTACTCCTTCCTCTGGAATCTGAACCCGTTCTTGTGATTGCGAGATTTAGTGTGTTTCCCAATTGCACCCTTGTTCTGGGTGCATTTATTTTCATAATGAGGATTAAAACTACCTTCCCACTTTGGCTAGTTTGTAAATAGTGGTATTTTTAGCGGATTCGAGTGTTTTGAGAGTATTTCAGATATTAATGTTGATTTTTGAGAATGAAAACATTTGAGGTTGAGTATCTGCTTTTGTCTTCTTCATGTCTTTCCTGTCGTTTTATAATTCACAGTTATTCTGCAGAACTGTGATGGATGGCTATGTAAAGAGACCTTGTGCTTCTTTTTTTTTTTTTCACCCCTCAAGGTTTCGTCACAGTCCAAACTGTTGGTACCTGCGAGACTGGACCGTTCACAGCTGGATCAGACAGTGTCTAAAATACGAGTCCAGAGAAAAGGCCCTGCACACGCTTAGAAACAAGGTACGCAACATTCTTGCCATTTATTCTTTGGACACCAAACTAGATGTAGGTAAAGAATAATATTTGGTCTGTGTAGAAAAGCCTCATGTTTATAATCTGGGAGGAAACCTGATCAGGGCCAACAGCTGCAGCCATCTGTCAGTGAGAGACGTTACAGATTTAACCCAAACCACCCAGATAGCTTATCAAACTAATCTGAAAAGCACAAATAAGGTCAAACGTGTTTGACATTTTCAACCCGGTTCTTAAATGCGATGTAGTATCTGAGCATCGCTAGATCGCTTCTAAAAGAGAGTCATCAGCTAGTTAGTGTTTACACCGAGGTAAGGTGGAGTACGCTCAGTCAGCATTACGTTTGTTGTTTTGATCGGTGACGTGTTGCTGTGAGGTAACAGCTCTTCATGCCAGTGATGCACTAAGAATCAACAATTCTATTACTGCATGTGATGTGCATCATCGTCACTAAATCATGTAGGATAAACATTTGTAAACTTTATTGACATTAAATGTACAAAATCCTGTTTCTATGATGCAGATGGTTATTTTGTGTGTGTGTGTATGTGTGTGTGTGTGTGTGTGTGTGCAGGTCCAGTATGGAATATTCCCAGACGACTTCACCTTCAACCTGCTCATGGATTCTTACATTAAGGATAAAGACTTTAAAAGTAAGGCCTTTTTTATGTGTTTTCAAACATTTGGGAAGAATTTTACTCTTTTAATTTTCATTTTATCTTACATAGGGCCTTTTATATTTTAAAGTTTTTAGTTTTTAGCTCCACTGTTTCCTTAGGGGGGTCCTCCACACTGGGGGCTGTGACTGATCTGCTGCTGGGGGTTCTGTCCACGGGTCCCTTCGGCCTGGCTGGTTGGGGGGCTCCCCACCTCGGTGTGGGGGTCCTCTTGTCTGCCGGGGTTGGAGGGGGGGTGGTCCGGGTGGCGGCACCCCTAGTGGTCATGGTTTGTGACTCCTCCCGGTGTGGATGGCCCCAATTGGTAGCGTTTCCCACAATCCTCAGTGCCATGCCATGTCTCCCTATGGTCAGTGGTGAGAGTGTGTGAGTGCATTTGTAGCCGTATGTGTATTTTTTTTTTTCTTTGACAATGTTTTTAATGCTGTGAAGCACTTTGTGTTGCTCTAGTGTATGAGAAGTGCTATATAAATAAAGTTTGATTTGAATGAGGCTCACGCAGGCAAAAACAACTTACAAACTCTTGCAGGTTTCCAAACAGACTGTTGTTGATTTTGAATATTGCCAGAAATGGGCACTGACTATCAAACCACCAAAATCAGATTTCAAACATATCTTTCCTTGTTTATAAAAGACAGGAGTAAAGAGGAAGCCTGATTATTTTTCCTGTAATAACATTAGACAGTAAACACTGCTTTGTTATGCAGAGATGGTAACGTGCTGAAGTTGTATTTACATTTGATAAAATGTTTATTTAGTGCTTATATGTTGTATAACGTCTGAGATGCAGCTTACATCTGATATCGTTGAGGATACATCTGGTAGTTTTCTACATACGTGTGACCTCACAAGACAGCTCAACGTCCTGCCAGATAAACTGTCACAACTCTGCTCTTTTGTTCGCTTGAATTTATTTAAAACTGGTTTTTGTTTCACGCTATTGGTAATTTGTTGATCTGTCAATTTGAAGGTTAGTTTTGTCAAGTTCACAGTGACAGAAGCTGGACGTGTCAATTATTATATGTAACATTTATTATGTTTTCACCTATTTCTGAATTACTTTGAGCAGTTTCAGCTCTTATTTTACTGTTTTGGCCTACAACAATAACAGCAATGTGTACTCATATGTGTCTAATTTACCTAAATTACCCAATTATATCCTTAATATATTTTGTTTAAACCATTTTTCCCACTTTTAACCGACTTCTCTGCTCACTTGCCAACAAATTTTCACACCTTCTTAGTCGCAGCATTCAGGTTTTACAACCAACTGGATATGTGAATGTATATTTTTAAAATCAAATCATAGTTGCAGTACCTTGTGGCAACACTTGGATGGGATTTACTGTTCCATAAATTTATTGCCACCAATCCAAAGAAGAGACCCAAAGGAACACTAAATTGATCCTACCATCGAATTCTGCCTCAGTAACCAAAATCTGATCTATTTTATTCCTCTTGAGCTCCATTTTTTTCTATAAACTATTAAAAACGAGTTAAAGAGTCGATAAAGATTGACGCGGCAGTTTATTTAGGGGCAACACCCGCTCACACTGTCACGTTGCTGTAAACACACACTTGAAGCCGAGGCTGAAAATAGGTCCAACAAATGCACTGTTTACTTCTTGAGGAACGTTTGCTAAAAACTACAGCAGGGAATTGTTGCATCTTTTTTTAACAATGAAATGAGAAAGTCTGAACAAATTGCCACGGGGCTGGCTGCCGCAGACAAACATCGGAAAGTAATGAGGGACTGATTTATGCAGTAAAATTCCATCCACCTGTGGGTTTTTTTTCTCGTTTGTTTGTCTGTCTGAGGTGGAAAAGTTTAGATTTTGATAAAAGCAAAATGTGCAACATCCATCCATCCATCCATCCATCCATCCATCCATCCATCCATTGTCTGTACGCCGCTTAATCCTCATTAGGGTTGTAGGGGGCTGGAGTCTAACGAGTTTTCCCAATTGAGGGACAAATTTCTGAGACAATATAAACACATGAGAGCGTTTTATTTCAACATGTAAATCCCCATTAGTATTCCTCCAGGTCTGAGCTTAAATTGGGGCCAATAAATCAATCCATTGTCTATACACCGCTAAATCCTCATTAGCGTCGTGGGGGACTGGAGTCTATCCCAGCTGACTCAGGGTGAAGGCAGGGGACACCTGGACAGGTAACCAGTCTATCACAGGGCTACGCTTAGAGACAGACAACCAAGCACACTCACATTCACACCTACGGACAATTTAGAATCACCAATTAACCTCAACGTGTTTTTGGACCTTGGAGAACCTGGAGAGAACCCACACTGCACAGGGAGAACATGGAGACTCCAGGCAGAAAGATCCCGGGTGTCCTCACCGGGACGCGAACCGGCGACCTTCTAGCTGCGAGGCAACGGTGCTAACCACCGCGCCACCTTACAGCCCTCAACATCAACAGGCTTAGCAAATAAATCAGGATGCACACGTGACTTCAGCATCTGCTGCTGCTCTACTTGAAAAGACAAAAGCATCAGATCTGTGTGGAGCAATAAGGACGCTTTGATGTTTTTCACATTTAACCCTCAGAAACGGTGCATTTACATCTCATTTTCTGTATAGATTTTGTTTACTTGCCTCACACTCTTTTAATTACATCTTGTAGCTGAACCCTCTTCCTCTGCAGTGGTTTAATGGCCCCCACCAGCTGCTAATGTCAACAAGCAGCTCCTTTATTTGCATAATTGTAATGGCTTGGAAATGCACATTGTCTTTTTATCGCCTGGAAATCGGTTTAAAATGTGCGCTTGATTTGGATGGAAGCTATTGTTGCTTTTAGTCTTTTTTAATAGGATTTGTTGCCGGTACACAAAACACACACACAACACCAGACGTATTCTTTTGCTTCCCAGAAGGTCACGAAGACCGTGTTTCTAATTTATAACTACATGTTCTCACACCTGGCCTGCTGTCGGTCAGTTGTGTAGCATCAGAAAAACACACAAAAATAATAAAGAAAAGCAACAATAACGCTAAAGAAAAATCCAGATTGACACGTATGTGACGAGGTGTTTTGTTGTAATCCTACAGGTGCGTGCTCTGTGGTCGAAGAGGTGATGCTGCAGGAGGCCTTCGACCTTCCCTCCACACAGATCCTGTCTCTGTACGCTCTGGGCAGTTACCTAGCGACCAAACCACAACTTACTGTGAGTGAAACAACAACGACAGCAGCAGCACTGGAGGTGTTAGAACAACAAATGATCCCAGAGTATTCTCATGCTTGGACGCAATACAGTGAAGTTTTTCCTTAAAATATAAAATATGTTTTGGAAAAACGAATGCCTGGACCTCAGTGTGTGGATGTTGCAGCAGGGATAACAAACTTGTTCCTTCACTGTGTTCAGGAGGCAGAGGGCCGAGCTTTGGGGGCATCGCTGCTCATCTGCGGACTGCAGCAGGACAACACCAGCGGCCTCAGCGCTCAGCTACTCGGAAATGCTCTCCTAGGTGTGTGTTTGAGTTTGCTCCCCCCCCAAACACTGTTGTGCTTCTTACTCTGACTGTGATTGATTTATCCGACAGGCTTTCATTAAGCTGTTTGACTCATTTGTTCTCCTCCTTCCTCCCCGTTCAGGCAAGCTGGAGCATTTAAAGGGCATACACGCCGTTTTCAAAGGGATGCCTCTCTACTGGGAACGAGGATATCTGGACCGAGCGTTGGCTGTCATGGAGAGGGTTGCTGCAGCTCCTGGTGATGCCAAGCTGTCCAAAGACACAGTAAGAACATGCAAATTCAGACGAGGATTTAGAATAGATTAGAACAGAATATCCTTTATGAGTCCCACAAGGGGAAATTTGCAACATCACAGCAGCAATGTGACGGTAAGAAAAGCAAGCATCCATCCTCTATACACCGCTTAATCCTCACTAGGGTCGTGGGGGGCTGGAGTCTATTCCAGCTGACTCAGGGTGAAGACAGGGGACACCCTGGACAGGTCACCAGTCTATCACAGGGCTACACTTAGAGACAGACAACCAAGCACACTCACATTCACACCTAC